TAATGCTTCTGACTAACGGTAATTTTAGAAATGTTGGATTTTAAATTTTTGGTAACCCCCTCTCTAAAAATGAAAAAAAAGAAAAGAAAGAAAAGCAGAAAGAAAGAAACTGACGCCACCTCCTTCTCCTTCTATGTGTCCGTCTTCCTTCAGGGCGTTTGTGATCGTGACTCTGCGCAACTTGCAGAACCTGGCATCTCGGCTTCAGTCACTTTCCTACCGCCATAACATAGCTTCTCTATCCCTTATCTATGTCGGTGCTTGGGTCCTCCCAGGCAGATCGTGGCACCACTGTCTGGGAAAATCTTCAACAGTGTGCTTTGATTGCCTGGAATATCTTCAGGATTTCTAGGGTCTGGAATTGGAGAAAATGGGACCAGTGTTGCTTCAATCTCCACAACACCATTTTTGTTAGATGACACATTTGAGCCTGTCTCCTTGTCAAACTCTACGTGTGCAATCAAACTATGTTAGCTTCATCATCTTGAAGGCCATTCACTTCACTAGGGCGACTTCTTGATCTGGATTGGCAAACATTTGAAAAATGGCCTTGGATGCCGCACGAGTTACAGCTCTGATTCCATGCAGGACATGCCTGTTGGCGGGTGATGGTTCCTGGGATGCCATGCTTGTGGCTACCACATCCTCTACAACGCAAATTGGTTGATGATACCTTGCTCTATGACACCAACATCAAAAAAAGCAGTCTATCATACCTTTGATTTTTTAATGAGATCTGCACAATGTGGGATTGTATACCAATTTTGTAATGACACTGATCATTTTGGTGGATTGCAAATAACTTCATCGGGAGTATCTCCTTCGGAATCTATACTTAATGCCGTCTTAAATTTCTTTGTTCCGAAAACAATTCTGTTACTTTTCTTGAGACTCATGCAACGAAGACTTCTACAATCTATAAATATTTTCGGCAATTGTTTTGAGGAATTTTCCTCTATCACACCCAGACTTTATGAATTTAAGCGCAGTACTAGATTGACGATACGGTCTCATTATTTTACAGTTGAACTGGCTAAATAAAACCTTAAGTTCTATGCTAACTGTTTCTTCTATGGAACTTTTCGCTTGTGGAACTCTCTTACGGCTTCTTACTTCCCAGTCAAATTTGATTTTCAAAAATTGATATGCAATATCAATCATTATCTTCTGAGTCCTTAATTTTTGTTCATTTTTTCTTCTCTCTCCTTACTAATCATTTCTTTCTCATATTTTCTAACACTCAATAACCTCTTGCGTCTTAGTGGCTTTATTGCCATGTTTGGGGGTGATTATATATATATATATATATATATATATATATATATATATACCACATAACACCCTTGAGCGCTTAGCTTTGGGGCGGGTAGAATGGAGATTAACGTGTTTTAGTGGACTCAGCAATTTTCAATCTGTTTGTCTGAATCATCTTCAAGAAGCGAGAGCAAGCTCTAAAAGGTCAGCCAATCTAACAGTGATCTCATCTCAAAATCCTCACACTTGCTCCATATATGGCCTCCTTTGTAAATCATTAGCGGGTCTTAAATGCCACTTAAGATTAGTGCATAAACTTTCATAACTGAATCAATAAAATCCTCATACGTGGAAACCGACGGAAGAGTCCATTATATATATATATATATATATATATATATATATATATATATATATATACAGAAATCTTGGCCAAATGATTGCGTATAGCATGAAACAGCCTGTCGCCTCTAGGTACTGGAATTCAATGTTCACTTTATATATATATATATATATATATATATATATATATATATATATATATATATATATGAAGAATTTAATGATTTTAAATATTTTATCGCACACTATTTTTATTCTTATATTGTCCTCACTTTTAATAGTAGTTTTTTTCTCATTTTCTCTAAAACTCAGTAAAGCGTCTTAGTGGCTTTATTGCCTTTGATCTTCAAAAATGTAAATGCAATATCAATGGTTCTCTTCTGTCCTTTTAATTTTTATTCTTTTGTTGTGCTCTCTTTTCAACGCTAGTTTTTTTTTTAATATATTCTCTTACATTTAGTCAACTCTTGCTTCGTAGTGGCTTTCTTGCCTTATTCGGCGTTGAAATGATTAAAAGAAACTGTATATTTCTCTTGGGAATTTTGGATTATTGGCGCCAGACAATCTTTCTAAGCTCTAGGAGTGGTAGACATTATTAATATCTATTTTCGTAAATAAATAAATTCATATTATATGACAAAGTTATAAATTATTCATTCAACATCATTACATGAATTTCGATTTAAAAAATTGATAAAATTGATTGATTAATGAGATTTTTTAAAAAAAAAGAAAATAGAATTTTTAAAAAATAAGAAAAAACGGAGAAAAAATATTTTCGCAAGAAAAATTTGAATTGAAGGTATTTGATTTTTATTGGTCACTCTCTAGCGTATCAGATTCATGGCATTGCCTCGTTTTGGATCACGACAGAAATTAATCGCCTCGAGGTTAAATTGGAATTTTAAGGCTTCCCGTATTTTTTTTTTATTTTCCCGATTCCTATATGGAAAGATATATATATATATATTTTTTTAATTTCATATGGACTTCCTTTTTAAGGATTTCAAAACATTTCTTTACAATTTCTTTCTTTTGGTACTGTTTTTTTTTTTCTGAACTTTTCTCTTCCTTTTCAGATTTTCTCCTGTTCATTCTTCTGATATTGTCTTATTTTTCTCATCTTCTTTTTTGTCGTACTTCCTCTAACCATTCTTCTGATATTGTCGCCTTCTTCTGAATTTCTTTTCTTGTTTTTCTTCTGGTCAATCTTCTGATATTGTCTTCTGATTGTTCTTTTCACATTGTCGTATTCTTCTGATCTTTATTCTCTTATCATAGTTTTTCTTCTGATCCTTCTTCTGATATTGTCTTCTGATCAACGTTTTGAAATTGCCGTATTCTTCTGATCTTTCTTCATTTTATGTAGTTTTTCTTACGATGTTTCGACTGAAATTGTCCTATTCCACTGATCTTTCTCCTTTTTTTGTCGTTTTTCCTCTAACCATTCTTCTGATAATGTCGCCTTCTTCTGATTTTCTTTTCTTGTTTCTCTTCTGGTCAATCTTCTGATATTGTCTTCTGATCATTTTGTTAACATTATCGTATTCTTCTGATCTTCTTTTCCTGTAGTTTTTCTTCTGATCTTTCTTATGATATTGTCTTCTGATCACCCTTTTGATATTGTCATATTGTTATGGTCCAAGTTCCTTGTACCACGGTGATGGTCCAAGGTTTCTTGTACCACGGTGATGGTCGAAGGTTAGAACCAATGAAAGAATAACACGAACACAGGTATGGAATACAAAGATATATTTACAACAGAAATATAATACAAAAGAAGTAGAAGTATTCGTAATGACTATCAGATTTGGTTAGAGTGAACTATGTTGTCTCGACAAGTATCACTATTCCAATGTCCTTGCTAATATTTCTTAATTATCTCTCCTCGTCTCACAATCTCCTCATACCTCTTGAGAGGCGCAGTATTTATAATGTCAGGAAGAGTCCATTATTATTATAGGTAAGTTCCCATAATACGTATTCTTCTGATCTTTATTCTCTTCTTATAGTTTTTCTTCTGATCCTTCTTATGATATTGTCTTCTGATAGTTCTTTTAAGATTATCATATCCTTGTGATCTTTCTTTCTTGTCGTTTTTCTTCTGATCATTCTTCTAATGTTGTCTTATTCTTCGGATCGTTATTTTGTAGTTTTTCTAGTGATCTTTCTACTAATATTTTCATATACTTCTTGTCGTTTTTTCTTCTGATTATTCTTCGCATATTGTAGTGTTTTTTTTCTGATCTTTCCTTTCAGTTTTTATTCTGATTTTGGAAACGGTGAATTACTGAACATCTTCCTGTTTTTCATCTTCAATTCTTAACATTTTATTCAAACCTCAACATTTTGGGATCAGCCATAGTAGAAATTACGAATCCATATTTCACCCGTCTACCAACTAAACGGCTATGCCCTAAAACCGGGGAATCCTGGGCTTCCAATCTTTCTTTGACAACAAGTCTAGAAGAAGAAGAATACTGAATTCAAAACCAGTTGGGTTTGGAGTTGCAGAAACAAAAATACTATCGCCAATTGTGTTTTTGGTAATTTCCTGACCCCATCCTAATCTAAGGACGATGTGCCATTCAAGGCAGTGAGTTACTAAATCCTGGGTGATATGAACATAAGAACTGAGAGTGGGGAATAAACGAAGGTAATGCGAATATATAACGATTGGCCTTCGACTTGATCACGTTTATAGGGTTCGGGGAAGCACTCTCGCCTTTGTCACTCCCACGAGGGAACAGTTCTTGGGAAGAAGCTTTCGCGAAGAAACGCCCTTCTTTTCAAATGATTACTTAGCGGATGACGATAAGTGATCCCACCCTGTGGACCTAGCGAGACGGGTCTTGGCTGTTAAGCTCTAAGCAAATGGCACAAAAGATTGGAGATCGTCAGAACATTTGCCATCAATGTAGTGATAGAATAGCTATTGGCTTGCTACGGGGTCATTTGTAGGAAAAGGGAAGTAGGCTATGGAAATAAACACCCACAAGTCCGCGTAAAACTCTTCCAAGTTGGGAGAATGAGGAATGAGAAGATGCAGCCCAGTACTGTACTGTACTGATGCGGCATTCACCCTGGGCGGATTGAGCCGGCTTCTTCCTGTTGTGAGAAGAAGATTCTTGGGATAAATTACAGAAGTAGGGTACCCAGACCTACTCGGATAACGTTCTTGCTTGCCGCAGGGGGTTCCCACAGACGCAGAGACAGGAACGACCAGAAGCCGCCGGTTGCCGATGCAGACGCTCCTTTTGGATTTTCACCAGAGCCCTTGTTAGCTGGCGTGTGTCAGACCTGTCCGCTCGGGTGGCCCTACCAGGAACGAAGTTCCGGCGGCATAGCTCTGACACTACCGTTTACACCCCCCACCGACTGTGAGGTAAGGGTTGGACTTGTGCTACGGTCAAATCACGTTGAAAACACCGGTTCTCGTTCGATCACCGAAGTTAAGCATCGTAGAGCCAGGTCAGTACTTAGATGGGGGACCGCTTGGGAACACCTGGTACTGTAAGCCCCCAAAGTCCATGCAGCCCAAATACTGTCAAGTCGCTTATTTGTACCACTCAACTAACGTTTTATCCACTGGGCCATCCGTCCTTGGGGACACGATTGTATCCGATATGTCATCTGTCCTGATGAATAAAAAGGTGACTTGATCCAAATAGTTGTGAGTTCAGTACCTGGCCACAGCTAACGTAGCAAAATCTTGGTAATTTGGATTACTAAACTGAATTAACTGAAACTGAGATATCCAACAAAAGGTATGGCCCGTGGAATTAGAACAATTTTCCCCGTGGACTTCTTCACACATGTATGCATTGGAATTTCATTTCGAAATTCCAACGTATATCACCTGAAGAAGACCATATCGTACAACGGCCGAAACGTCGACACGATTATGATGACGTAAACCGTCCGAACAATGTAAATAGTATAAATCTTAATAACTCGTTTAAAAATATAGACAGATTCTGAAGGCCGGAGCGTTCAACGGCCGAAACGTCGTGAATATGGCAACGAAAATAACTGTCCGAGCGATGGAAACAGTGTAAATACTTTCAATACCTCATCGTGAATATACAGACAGATCCTGAAGAAGACCGCAGCGTTCAAGGGCCGAAACGTCGTGAATATGACAAGAAGATGGGGTCAACATGAGACAAATGAAGAAAGCGACATGTGTGTACGTGTGTGTGTTTTCATTCGCCAGTCGCCTGTGGGAAAGTAGTCCTCCCCAGCGATGACGAGTCTCATGTTGGCTCTGCTTCTTTCAATATACGCGTCCTTGTCGCTTTTTAAATAATTGAGAGTGTAAGTAGAGTTGCGTGGCTGAAAAGTGATCAACGAACCAGTTTGCTAATCTGTAAGACTGTTTATCCCAATCGTCAAATCTCAGTTGGAAGATTTATTTATTTATTTCAGTCATTTGTTTTTTTAGTTCAGATCATAATTGTCCATCTGCTTGAATGAATTCTTTTTTCTTTTCTTTTTTTTTTAAGAAGAAGAAGAGGGATTCGGAAGAATAAGATGCTGAAAGCGATGGGAAAAAGTATCAGAAGAAAAAGAGGCAGAGGAGAAGAAAGGGGAAGAAATAGGAGAAATCAGAGAACGACAAAAAAGAAGATAAGAAAAAAAGAAAATAAAAAAAGGAGCAAAAAAAAGAAGGCAAAATAGAAAAGAAGAGGAAGAAAAAAAACGTGAGTGGGGGAGGACAACGATGAGAAGAGGAGGAAGAAGAATAATAAATTCGAGATAAAAAAGAACAAGAAAAAGAAACATGGCGGCTGCACAGGCGTTCCATGACCACTCGATCGAGGATTATGAAGATAAAATAATCGAGAGTGTAAGTAGAGTTGCGTGGCTGAAAAGTGATCAACGAACCAGTTTGCTAATCCGTAGGACTGTTTATCCCAATCGTCAAATCTCAGTTGGAGGATTTATTTATTTATTTCAGTCATTTATTTTTTAGTTCAGAATTTAATTGCTCGTCTGCTTGAATGAATTTTTTTAAACGTTCAACATGAGTTCTTATTAACGCTGTTATTTTTATTTATTTCGTATAATGGAGTAGATAAAAGAAAACCCCGAGAGAATATTCTTAAATATTTTCTTTAAAGATATGACAAAAATAATGAATGTAAAAATAATTAGGTTGGGGGAGGCATAAAGAGGGAAAATTACAAACAAGAAAGAGAAAGAGGAATGTGGAAAAAGAAGGAAAGCATCAAAGAGTGAGAAGAAGAAGAAGAAGAAGAAGAAGAAGAAGAAGAAGACAAATATATGGATAGGTTAGAAAATTCAGGTTAGAAGAAGAAGAAGAAGAAGACAAATATATGGATGCGTTGGAAAATTCAGGTTAGAAGAAGAAGAAGAAGAAGAAGAAGAAGAAGAAGAAGAAGAAGACAAATATATGGATACGTTGGAAAATTCAGGTTAGAAGAAGAAGAAGAAGAAGACAAATATATGGATAGGTTGGAAAATTCAGGTTAGAAGAAGAAGAAGAAGAAGAAGAAGAAGAAGAAGAAGAAGAAGAAGAAGAAGAAGAAAGAGGTGGAAGAAAGAGGAGGAAGAAAAACAGGTAAAGGAGAAGAAAGAGGAAGAAATAAGAGAAATCTGAGAACGAAGATGAAGAATGCGGGAAGGAAGTTGAAGAAAGAAGAAAAGAAAACAAAAGTAAAACAAAAGGAAGAAGAAGAATATATGGATAGGTTGGAAAATTCAGGTTAGAAGAAGAAGAAGAAGAAGAAGAAGAAGAAGAAAAGGAAGGAAGGAGAATAATAATAATAATAATAATGTGGGAGAATAAGATAGTGAAAGGGGTATAAAAAAGAGGAGGAGGAACAGGAAGAGGTAGAAAAGAAAGTTGAAGAAGAAGAAAAAACGAAAAAAAAGATAAAGAAAGGAGAAAAAACAAAACGAAGAAAAAATAGAAAAGAAGAAGAGAATTTATGAAGATAAAATAACATGGCGGCCGCACAGGCGTTCCATGACCACTCGATCGAGAATTATGAAGATAAAATAATCGAGAGTGTAAGTAAAGTTGCGTGGCTGAAAAGTGATCATTGAACCAGTTTGCTAATCCGTAGGACTGTTTATCCCAATCGTCAAATCTCAGTTGGAGGATTTATTTATTTATTTCAGTCATTTATTTTTTAGTTCAGAATTTAATTGGCCGTCTGCTTGAATGAATTTTTTAAAGAAGAAGAAGAAGAAGAAGAATGATGCGGGAGAATAAGGTGCTGAAAGTGATGGAAAAAATAGGAGGAAAAAGAAGTAGAGGAGAAGAGATAGAAAGAAATAGGAGAAATTCGAAAATGAAAAAGAATGCTGGGAAAGAAGATAAAGAAAAGAGAAAAAAAACAAAATGAAGACAAAATAGAAATTAAGAAGAGGAAGAAAAAAAACGTGAGGAGGTAAAAGGATGAGGAGCAGGAGAAAGGGAAGAAGAAGAAGAATGAGAAATTCGAGAACGAAAAAGAAAAGAAGAAAAAAGAAACAGAAGACGATAAAGAAAGAAAAGAAGAAGAAAACGAAGAAACAGAAGAAGAAAAAGAAAAAAGAAAAAGCTGAAAGAGAGGAAGACAGGGGCGAAATTTCAGTCATTTATTTTTTTTTATTTTTTTATTTTTTTAATTTTTTGTAGTTCAGCATTTAATTGTCCATCAGTTTAAATGAACTTTTTAAACGTTCGATATCAGTACATACCGCTGTTTATTTTTTCTAAAATTTCTCTTATATCCAAAGTGAGATTGATTCGCACCAGGTGCCTAATATTGTAAATGTCGGAATTAACGGACCTAATAAATACAAACTGAATATGATTATTTCTCAAAAATTGCGTAGAAAATTAATCAAATGTCAATTACATTTTAATTAAATAGTATGAGTAAACTGAAATATAAGAAAAAAGATGGGGAGATGGATTGGTCGATCGATAGATCAATAGACAGATAGATATCGATACATTTTCTGAAAGGGAACTTAGACGAAATGACCGGAACACAAACAAGTAAGAGAGTAATCGATCTGGACAAGATCAAATTGAAATTTATCAATAGGAGAAACAAAAATAACGAGAAATAAATGAAAGACATCGATGAGTATATGCTCTTTCACGATAAATAAACTGGCCCCAATTTGAGACTTTTCTATCTTTCTCTCTCATTTCCTGATTTATTTATTTATTTTATTCTTTCTTTCTTTTTTTCCCTTATTTCTTTCTTTCTTTCTTTCTTTCTTTTCTGCCTCTTTCTTTATTTTTTTTCTTGCTCCTTTTTTCTTTTTTTCATTTTTTTTTATTTTTTTCTTTCCGGCTTCTTTCTTTCAGGCTTCTTTCTTCTTTTTTCCTTTCTTTTTTTCTTTTCTTTTCTTTTTTTTTTTCTCCATTTTTCTTTTTTCATTCATTCTTTTATTCTTTCTTTCCGGCTTCTTTCTTTCAGGCTTCTTTCTTTCTTTTTTTCTTTCTTTCTTTCTTTCTTTCTTTCTTTTTTTCTCTTTTTTTTTTCTTTTTTCATTCATTCTTTTATTCTTTCTTTCCGGCTTCTTTCTTTCAGGATTCTTTCTTTCTTTTTTTCTTTCTTTCTTTCTTTCTTTTTTTCTCCTTTTTTTTCTTTTTTCATTCATTCTTTTATTCTTTCTTTCCGGCTTCTTTCTTTCAGGCTTCTTTCTTTCTTTCTTTCTTTCTTTCTTTCTTTCTTTCTTTCTTTCTCCTTTTTTTTTTTTTTTTTATTCATTCTTTTATTCTTTCTTTCCGGCTTCTTTCTTTTCAGGCTTCTTTTTCTTTCTTTTTTTTTTCTTTCTTTCTTTCTTTTTTTTTTTTTTTTCACCTTTTTTTTTTTTTTTCATTCATTCTTTTATTCTTTCTTTCCGGCTTCTTTCTTTCAGGATTCTTTCTTTCTTTCTTTCTTTCTTTCTTTCTTTCTTTCTTTCTTTTTATCTTTCGTTCTCCTTATTTTTTCTTTTTTTCTTTCATTCTTTTATTCTTTCTTTCAGGTTTTTTTTCTTTCCGGCTTCTTTCATTCAGGCTTCTTTCTTTCTTTTTTCTTTCTTTCTTTCTCCTTTTTTTCTTTCATTCTTTTATTCTTTCTTTCCGGCTTCTTTCTTTCCGGCTTCTTTCTTTCTTTTTTTCTTTCTTTCTTTCTCCTTTTTTTTTCTTTTATCTTTCATTCTTTTATTCTTTCTTTGCGGCTTCTTTCTTTCAGGCTTCTTTCTTTCTTTCTGTCTTTCTTTCTTGCTTGCTTGCTTCTTTTTTTCTTTTTTTTTCCTTTCTTTTATTCTTTTTTCCTGCTTCTTTTTTCTTTCTTTTTCTTTCTTTCTTTCTTTCCTGCTTCTTTTTTTCTTTCATTATTTCTTTCTTTCAGTGTATTTCTTTCTTTATTTCTTTCTGTCTTTTTCCTCTTTCTTTCAGTGTCTTTCTTTCTTACTTTCTTTCTTTCTTTCTTTCTTTCTTTCTTTCTTTCTTTCTTTCAGTGTCGTGCGTTCTTTCTTTCAGTCTCCTTCGGTTATTTATACACCCGACAAGTAGTAAATATTTAAATAAGATATAAGATTGCATACGTTTTGTCCACTGTCCTCTCGACCGAATCAACCATTCTTTCAAGCAATCAGTGTTTCCACATGAAAATACATATCAAGCTTATATATATATATATATATATATATATATATATATATATATATATGTATATGTGTGTGTGTGTGTGTGTTATACACCGTTACCTTTTATGTAGTAATTACTACAAAATTGTACATTTTCGACGTTTAAATGAAAAGTCTCTTCAAGTAATTAACAATGTCGGTACCATCATTGCTAATTACCTAAAGAGACGTTTTATTTAAACGTTGAAACAAAATGTACAATTTTGTAGTAATTAGATGTTCTAATGTAACGGTGTATAATAAATATTTATTGCTCTATTCTTGTCCTCTTTTAAATTATTGTTTTGAAAGTTGTAATTGTATTCTTCGTTCTTTTACATACATATGTATATATACCCGACTTTCCCGTCGAATTCGACGTATGAGGGTCAAGCAGATCAGTTCCCAGGAATAGTGGTGAAGGTTTCGTGCAGGACCATCCACACTTTTTGAAGGGCCGAATACAGAGACCTCGTGCACTACGTGCCACAAGGTCCCCAAACGACCCTCCGCAGGTTTTGAATTCAGAGTTGTCCTTCTCCTAGACTAGTTGCCATCCAAGGCTATAGAACCCAGTCTGTCCTGCTATTTACCCATAGCTAGAGGGAGAGGAAGAGGATTCATACCTTTCCCAAGGGTATTAGCACGTAAGTGATTGTAATGGATTCGACTGGAATTCGAACTATATATATATATATATATATATATATATATATATATATATATATTCAAACAAGTTTAATTAAATAATTTAGATATACATAGGGAAACAAAATGTTGACATCCTATCATGGAAAAATGTCTTGTGAATTTGAAATTGATATAGCATCATAAAGTCGCCGAAGAATGAACAGTAAAACGTTTTGAATTTGCAGAAATACTTATAAAATACAGAGAATTTAACCCCCTGTATATTGTCTGAGATGAGACTAAAAATCCTTAGGAAAATAAAATTTATTTCATATATGGTATATATATATATATATATATATATATGCCATTTTAATTATCGAAATTCCCCAGTACCACGACCAAAAAAAAAAAACAACACAGAACAAATACAGGAAATTTGGACTTTGTCCTAATTTTTTTCTCGGTGTGCAACAACTTGTACGAAAATTGGAAATGTAAAACAAAAATTTAAAGAAACACACTTCGTCGGCTGAATTTTATTAAAAAAATCTAGTTTGATAAATGCAGATTATGTTCCATTATTAAGGAAAGATTAAAACTCCCAAATATCCGACTCTTCAGATACGATGTTTAAAAAAATTTGCAGTATTCATAAAATTGGAACTACTTAAAAAATGGTCAGCTGACAAAAATAAACACATTTTTAGGAGATCATTTTTGCACTTCAACTTCTTCTTAAACTTCTACTACTTCTTCTTATTAATATTCTTCTTATTCTTAAACCTCTTCTACTTCTTCTTCTTCTGCTTCTTCTTCTTAAACTTCTTCTTCTTCTAAAAATTCTTCTTAAACTTATTATTATTATAACTAACTTATTCAACTTATTAAACTTATTATTATTATAACTAACTTATTCAACTTATTAAACTTATTATTATAACTAAAAATTCTTCTTAAACTTATTATTATTATTATTAAACTTCTTCTTCTTCTTAAAATTCTTCTTCTACTACTACTTCTTCTGAAACTTCTCTTTAAACTTTTTCTTCTACTTCTTAAACTTCTTTTTATCTTCTTCCTCTTGATCTTCTTCTTCTTAAACTTCTTCTTAAATTTCTTCTCATTCTTCTTCTTCTTAAACTTCTTAAACTTCTTCTTCTTCTACTAGTTCTTCTTAAACTTCTTCTTAAACTTTTTTTTCTGAAACTTCTTCTTCTAAAAATTCTTCTTCTTAAACTTATTATTATTATTTTTCTTAAACTTCTTCTTCATCTTAAACTTCTTCTACTACTTCTTATTCTCTTTAAACTTTTTCTTCTACTTCTTAAACTTCTTTTTATCTTCTTCTTCTTCTTGATCTTCTTCTTCTTAAACTTCTTCTCATTATTCTTCTTAAACTTCTTCTTCTACTACTACTTCTTCTTAAACTTCTTCTTCTTAAACTTTTTTTTTCTTCTGAAACTTCTTCTGAAACTTCGTCTTCTTAAACTTCTTCTTCTTCTTCTGCTTTTCTTCTTCTTCTTAAACCTTCCTTTGGCAGCATGTCAGAATCGAAAATCTTGATGTTTTTATCGATTTACAGGATGATCATATTTTGATATTATATAACGATACAGTATCAAATCGATTCCTGATTTGGAAGAATTATGTGTTTTGGCCGAAGTCACTTACAAATGTCAAATTTGAAAAATGTGCTAACATCTTTAATAGCTGCGTATTTTCTAATTTTCTGAAATTTAATTATTCGCTTTTTTTTTTCTTTTACCAATTTTGCTGGGGATTTCTTTTGCAGAAGCACATGCACAGATATTTTTCAGTTCATAATTATTTATGATAAACCAATACAAAAATGTATTAATTTATGTTAATCTTTTTACCTTCACATAAATATATATATATATATATATATATATATATATATATATATATATATATATGTTTGTTCGTATTGTAGCATACCTAAGGACGATAATGTGTATGTCCCCATTCACATAAATACAGTAGTAAATACTGTATGTTGGTCTGCAGTTGGAGATTCGTCTTCAGCTGTGCTGGTCACACTCTCTGCCACTGGACAGAGAAGACACCCATACGAGACTATTTCGAAGAAACACCTATCCGACACCGGTTTATACGGGGAATTTCTAGCCGAGCCTTCGAGTTCCTGATACCCCACATTAAATTCGGCCTTGTACCACATCTGACCGCGTGGATGGGTTGGCAGGTATCCTGCATTTATCTTCAGCTATGCTGGTCACACTTTCTGCCTCCGAGCAGAGAGGATCCCAAGAGGAGTCTCTGTCGACGGGCAGTGTCTCGTCTAGGGAAACATCTACCCGACACCGTATTATATGGGGTCTACGGGAAATTTCGGGCTCCTGATACCGTAAATTCGGCCTTGTGCCAAATCTGACCGCGTGAGGTGGTTGATAAATATCCTGTAGTTGGAGATTTCTCTCCAGCTGTGCTGGTCACACTCTCTTCCGCCGAGCAGAGAGGATCCCCAGGCAACGTTATGTTGTTAGTAAAGATCCTGCAATTGGTGATTCATTGTAGAATTCATTTGACTCACTTCTAACAGTTGAGTACTTCTTTTACATTATAATAATGATAATGGTCTATTCCATACTTAATAAATACTGCGCCTGAGGAGTAGGCAAGGAGTCAGTCAGTAGTTCACTTTTGAACCGACTGTTCGGTTGAACTCTCTGCCTTCGGGCGGAGAGGAACCCGAACGAGGCTACGCCGAGGGGCGGAGTCTCGTTCGGAGAGGTAAACCGACCCTGAGCCCGTTTATACGGGTTCAATGGGCATATTTTTGGGCCGAGCCCACGGGATCGGAGAACCCACAATAAATAACCAACCTTGTGTCACATGCTGCCCCAGTGTGTGTGGGGGGGTGACTGAATATAATTTTATTATCTTTACTCAATTTTCTTTTCTCTTTCTTAACCATCGTCCATCGACTGCTTCATTTTCTATTTTCTTCTTTTCTATTTTCTTCTCCTTCTTGTTCTTTTTTGATTATCTATATTTTTTTCTTTTTTAGCCATCTTCCATCTACCTCTTCTTTTTCTAATTTCTTGTTATTATTTTTCTTCTTCTTCTTCTTCTTCTTCTTTTTCTTCTTCTTCTTCTTTGATTATTTTTGCTCAATTTTCTTTTCTTTTTTTAGTCATCGTCAGTTGACCTCTTCTTTTTCTATTTTCTTCTTTTTCTATTTTCTTCTTCTTCTTCTTCTTCTTCTTTCTTTCTTTCTTTCTTTCTTTCTTTCTTTCTCTTTCCAAAAAATTGAAAATGGCATTTGTGCCCAGAGAGACTTTGTCATTTTTAGGCCAGAAGCCCTGGGTAGAGAGAAAAATTTTATAAATCGGCTCATTGATATAATTTCGATCGGACGTCTTCTCTATTGACACTGAACATATTTCATGACTATTAAATTGGACAAATATAGGTTTGAAATATGAACATCTTTTCTGTTTGCGAAACCATAGGTAACGAACGAGTTTCCTTAAAAGAAATAATACAAAGATAAACAAAATTCCAAAATTCAAAACGAAAATTGTTTATTATAAAAACAAAATCAATGATAACTTCTAGTCAATATATATATATATATATATATATATATATATATATATATATATATATATATATATCCTATATTTCCGTATAACGATCAAATGAAGCAAGAAATGCACTGTAGCAGTGAAAATCACTTTTATTATGTCTGCTTATTTTTATCATAATCCTTTCATATTCCCGAATATTCTTCCGTATATTACAATCAAATGAGCAAAAAAAAAAAAACTGTGAAAATCACTTTTATTTCTCAAATACTTTTCATTTTTTCTGAGATCATCACCACGAGTACAACTCGTAAGGCAAGAACTATGTGTAAATTATCCATTACTGATTTTTCCGTTTGCCTTAAAAAAAAAAAAGAGTAATGGATAGCTACACAGTTATTGCCTTATCAGTTGTATCCCGCCCCCCGATGATCTCAGATAGAGATAGAAAGTACTTCGGAAATAGAAGCGATTCTCACTGTTACAGTAATTTTTTGCCTTATCTGATTCTAATATCCTGACAAATATTCATTAATAATAAAGGATTATGATAAAAAAAAACAGATATAATGTTTATATTTTATTCAATCACATATGCGTAAAAGAGAATTTCCTGCCTAAATGAATAATATATGTACTGTGAGTTTTGTAAGCATTACCTATTACTGCTAATAATGCAAGGAAAAAGGAATAAAAAGGTAAAAGGAATCGAGTTCTCGCAGTCACCGTTTGTTTATCTAAAAACAAATACGCTTAAATTCACCTTCATCGCTACCGTGCGCCAATGTCTTAGGTGTAGAATCTCCGACTGACGCCAATTCAGCCTGGTTTCGATCCTAGCTAGAGGCAGCCGGACGTCTAGCCACTCTGATCAGCTGTGATACAGCGTAATATATATATATATATATAATATATATATGTGCGGGTCGAACAAAACAGATTGAAAAGGCAAAGAGTTCTTTTTCTTTCTTTCTTACTTACTAACTTACTTATCGATGTAAGAAAAAATAAAACACCGCATATTTTACGACAATAAATAATTCGTCTGCAAACATTTTTCCTGTTGTACATTTGAACAAAAAATATATTTCAGTTACTTTTTTTTTTTTGCTTCTTTTTTTTTTGCAACTGATTTTTTTTTCATTTACGTTAAAAAAACAGAGAAATGGACATCTACACATCATTTTTGCCTTAGCAGTTGCACCCCGGATGATGATCTCAGAAAGAGATGGAAATTACTTTGAAAATAAAAGTGATTTTCACAATTACTCTTGCCTCGTTTCATTATAATATACCGAAAAATATTCGTGAATATAACAGGATTATCATAAAAATAAGCATATATAATGTTTTGTACTTTATTTGCCTAAAGACATGTATAAAAGATAATTTGCTGCCTAAATACATATATATATATATATATATATATATATATATATATATATATATATATATATATATATATATACGCACCTGTTACAAGATGCAATGATACGAGTGAAACAAAACAGATTGAAAAGGCGAGGAGTTCTTTTTTACTTTCTTATTCATGTACGAAAAAATAAAACCCCACATTTTTTACGACAATACATTAGTCGTCTCTGTGTCTTTTTCCTGTTGTACAATTGAACAAAACATATATTCCAGTCTCTTTTTTTTTTATGGATGCGCAGCTATTGCCAAAATGACTTACTCCTTTATTACATGATATTCACAAAGACTGCAAACTTGTACTATTGGACAAAATGAATGTTTTATCTATTTCTCTTTTTTGTTTGATAGAGGATGTTTTTTTGAATTTTTTCAAAATATTTCTTATATCGATCCAGACAGGGTCTTATATATATATATATATATATATATATATATATATATATATATATATATATATATATATATATTGTACAGGTAATAATCCGTTAGTATTATTTGAGACTTATTTATCTTTCTCTCTCATCTTCTAACTTGTTCTTTCCTTCATTCTTTATTTAATTCAGTGTCTTTGTTTCTTTCAATTTTTTTGTTTCTTTCATTTTCTTTGTTTCTTTCAGTCTCTTTCTTTCTTTCAGTCACTTTCTTTCTTTTTTTCAGTGTCTTTTTCTTTTTTGTGTCTATCTTTCTTTCTTTCTTTCTTTCTTTCAGTGTTTGTCTTTCTTTCTTTCATTTTTCCTTTTTTTTTTCTTTCAGTATCTTTGTGTCTTTCAGTGTCTTTCTTTCTTTCTTTCTTTCTTTCTTTCTTTTTTCTTTTTTTTTCTTTCGGTATCTTTGTTTCTTTCAGTGTCTGTTTTTCTTTCTATCTTTCTTTTTTTTCTTTCTTTTTCTTTCTTTCTTTCAGTGTCTTTCTTTTTTTCTTTCTTTCTTTCATTTTTCCTTTTTTTCTTTCAGTATCTTTGTTTCTTTCAGTGTCTTTCTTTCTTTCTTTTTTCTTTCTTTCTTTTTCTTTCTTTCTTTTAGTGTCTGTCTTTATTTCTTCCTTTCTTTCTTTCTTTCATTTTTTCCTTTTTTTCTTTCTGTATCTTTGTGTCTTTCAGTGTCTTTCTTTGTTTCTTTCTTTTTTCTTTCTTTCATTTTCTTTGTTTCTTTCAGTGTTTGTCTTTCTTTCTTTCTTTCTTTCTTTCTTTCTTTCTTTGTGTCTTTCATTGTCTTTGTTTCTTTCTTTGTTTCTTTCTTCCAGTTTCTTTCTTTCTTTCTTTCTTTCTTTGTCTTGCTTTCTTTTTTTTCAGTGTCCTTCGGATATATATATATATACACACGACAAATGGTAAATATTCGAATAAGATATAAAATTGCATAAGTTTTGTCGACTGTCCTCTCGACCAAATCAACGATGCTTGAAATTAATCAATGCTTACACATGCAAATACATGTCGATTATATATATATATATATATATATATATATATATATATATAATTGTTATGGTCCAGGTTAGGACCAAGGAAGAACAACACGAACACAAGAGTAAAAATAACGAACCCATGACAATAACCATATCCCGGTTTGACCCAAGCCTTGTGAATGAAATTGGGTAGACGTAACTGTTGAGGCCGTTGATAGCTAGCACGAAGTTGTAGGGCAGGTGTTGTTCAGATTCTTGGTAATTCAAGATAACACGCTCTCTCCCGGAAACTGAAACTAACGTCTGCTGAGCATAGATGCAGTATAGACCACAGGTGGGTTCTGTGGATATTGAATAAACACAAATGCGCCTGAGCAAGCGTCTGCAATAGGGATTGGCTAGCCGCCCTAGTAGACGGGTAGTTACAAAGATTAATATTATTATTATTATTATTTATATATATATATATATATATATATATATATATATATATATATATATATATTCATACATGTTTTATTAATAATATAGACAAGTGTTGTCTATTTATTTTATGTAAATTCTTTTCATAACGTCTGATGCTTAATAACATTATCATTAAACGAAGAAAGAAAATCACAATATTGATTCATATATTTATTAATCCAATCTAAGCTTTCGGCTTACATAAGCCATTATCAAAGATGACAATTACTGTACAATATATTAAGCAATACACGGACAAGCATGTGATGATAGTCTGTTTCTGTTTACGTGGATGATTTCCAAGCAACGATAAACACATGCATATAAGGCGCTGGAAGCGAAAATCGCACCGCAGCTCATGATGTCACACATGACCACGTGAGAGTGAATTCGAGAAGTATTAAGTATGGGAAGCCGTTGGTATAAACCAATGGCTTCTGTTATCAATTATAGGCATTTAAGAATGTTTGTGAAGATTTCGTATTTATTTTGTTCAGGTTAGGTTTCAACTGTTTTTATTTATATTGCTTCAAGAATTTTTTAGTTTTTGTTTATTGTTTTCATGTTTAAGTATAGTTGTGTTTTCAACAAGGATATTACGGAATTTCAATATGGTGACTTCCTTTCGTCTTTCAATGATAATGTTATTAAGCTGATCAGACAATATGAAAGGAACTTACTTAAAATAAATTGACAAAACTTGTCTATATTATTTAATAAAACATGCATTAGCATATATAATCTTTTCTTTTAAATTGAAAATTTTTTCGTTGTGAATTAATATCGGTTTTTGTGTGTTTGTGTGTGTGTGTGTGTGTGTGTGTGTGTGTGTGTGTGTGTGTGTATAGTAAAGGTAGAAAATCCGTTGGTATATAATCCAAGTGGATCGTAATAATATCAAATATTAAAGCTGATCCATAAAAAGAAATCAGTGTATTTATTAACACAATGTCTTATTGTCAACGGCTGCGTTTTCGCCTTTTTCTTTCTTTAAATATTTAATTATTAAATTTCTAACTTTGTATCTGCCCACCATTTCTCATGAGGTAATTTGGGATTTCTCTATTTTGTAATACATATATATATATATATATATATATATATATATATATATACATATTTATTAAAGACATTTTTATGTTTAACGTTCTTTTTTTTATAGATACAAGTATTTAAGCAAATGGTCTGCTTATAATAAACAGTATTAAATTGTCCATTTCTTAATATATGGCATCATATATATATATATATATATATATTAAAGACATTTTTATGTTTAACGTTCTTTTCTTTTTATAGATACAAGTATTTAAGCAAATAGTCTGTTTATAATAAACAGTATTAAATTGTCCATTTCTTAATATATGACATCATATATATATATATATATATATATATATATATATATATATATATATATAT